GCAATTCCCTTTTCCGAATTTACCCTTATATATTTGTATTGTTATTGAATATTTATCCACAAGATTAATATGTCAGAGGAACGAATAACGATTATGAGCCCATAATTAAGCCATTTTGGTAACGTAATGACTACTGACCCCATCACTTGTATAAAATTATTTTCCGTTTTTATAAGGTTTTACCAAAAAGAAAAAATATCAACACCAAAACCCAAATTTAATTTTTGTGTTACCACCGTAATTAATTGGATTAAGTGAAAACAGTAGATCTTATTTATCTTGTGTTCCATAAATGATGATATATCTAACTTGTATCTTACAAATATCTTAAACTTGGTATATTTAAAATGATTATACAAAATATTTGTTTATCCGACATGATTTGTGATTATCCATCATCTTCTAATGCTTTGCGGGAATAAAATAATTATATAATGGAAAAAATATAGATTCCCATTTTCTTCATTTGAAATTTTGACTAGAAAGAAAGACTAAAAACACAACAATCAAATTTCAAATTATATTTGTATAAAAAGGAGTAACAAACAAAAAAATCAAGATAAAAGAGGTTTCTTAGAGTCAAACTCACACTCAAAACTCTCAATTTGTGAGAAACCTTCTTTGCCTTTAGCCCATAACACAAGGTACAGTCCTATGAACATCAATGCCATTCCTCCCACACTGCATATTTTTTTAATGTTAATCATTAATTAGAACAAAAATGCGGATATAAATTATTATGGTTCTAATTCAGTAATTCGTGGAACAAATAAAGAGCAGAATGATTATACAAATCTATATAGGTCTTATCATTGATAAAATGTTAAATATAAATATCAGTAGTTATATTCATCCATTCCATTACTTCCCTAAGATTGATATCAAAATTTTGTATAACCAATTTTATCAGTTTTTTTTGTTTGTTTTTTAATTCCGGGAAGTGTTTGGCTTTCCAAACATAATCTAAACTCGAGTTCGGATTCGATAACACGAAAACAAGACTCGTCTACAAGTTGAATTAACCACATTTACCAATGTGATCTATAAGTTAATGATGTTGCTAAATCATCATATAGATCTTAATTATTTTTGCCTTTTTATCGTAGTACCAATCCGAACCTACAAATGTTAAATCTTTTACGCGTTACTGAGAATAATATTTTACATCAGAAAATCGGCAGATACGTTTAAATAAAAAAATATGAATTTTTTCAATTCGTTGTCAATCGATTTTGAATTGAAATGTCACAAAACAAAATTGAAATTTGTTTTTGTTAAAGAGTTGTAAGTAACCAAAGTTACCTTCCAAGGCTAATGGACTCTCCTAGTGCCAAAACGGAGAAAGCAACCGAAATAACGGTAGCGAAAGGACTAAACATTGAAACCATTACCGGTCCACGTTTCTTCATTGCCCATCCATTAAAGCTCACACAAGCTCCACTCACTGTCCCTCCCTACCATTTAAAAAAAAAAAAAACTATATATTATAACCATAAACAAATTAAAACTATTATTATAAAAAATTTATTTGAACTTACCAGGATAGAAAAACCAACGAGGTTACCGACACTAACAAATGATCTAGTCAATACTCTTGCGTTCTGGTTTTGTAATAATTGTACCATTGTTGTTATCACCACTCCGATCAATGCCGTTATCGCGCTTAAAGATATCGGTGCCGGGAACTCAGCCAATGTCGAAGCCTGAAATAACCGGAATTTTAGAAACTAAACCGAACCAAACCGGTTATGACGAAACCCGAATTACTTTACCTGAAGAACTACGTTGGTTGATAAGACAAAGACAGCTCCAAGAAGGTACATACATCCCACGATTTTGTCTCGATCAAACACGAATACTGAAGCATTATCTTCTTCGCTGTGTTCGATCGAAGCGCTATGCATTAAGCTCATTGTTAAAGCGCCGAATACGCACAACAATGTTCCTAAGATCTTCAATCTGCTGTACACACATTTCATATTCATCTTTTCTATCCTATCCAACATAACAGAGAGACAACAATGAATCTTGGAACAAGTGAATCGATATTGTCGAAAAACGGGGTTTAGTGATTTCACCTAACGATCCACGCGATGAAGAATATGAGACCAGGAGCGAGATTAGGCATCGCTGTGGCCATTGCTGGGGATGTCAACTTGATTCCTTCAAGAAACAGAGACTGGAACAGAGTAACCCTGTTTTTTCAAAAATACAGAGAACAAAGAAATTGTAGAAATTTCAACAAAGTTTTATACTTTTTTTTTTAGAAACAAGAAAAAGTAATGGAGGATGATACTTACCCTGCAAAGGAGATCAAAACTAGCTTACCAATCAGCCTCGAGCTAAACTCATTTGGCCATTGCTTCCTTTAGAACAACAAAACAAAAACCAAAACATTTTATAAACTATCTGAAACCAAAAGAAAAGAGAATTGTTTGGTTTTCTTGAGGATGTGAAAAAAAGTTATCAGACCTTTCGAAGAAAATGGCGAAAGGGGAGAGGATTACGAAAGTGGCAAAGGTAGAGAAGATAACAATGGTGAAAGGGCCAAGACCAAGTGACATCAAATAACTCATGAGCGCAGAATTGCCTGCATATACAAATTGAACCATTACTAAACCTCCTACTATCACCATCTCTTCTATCATCTCCTTCGTCATCCTCTCCTCTCGGAGTTTGAATACCGATCGATGACAATCTAAGGAAAAAAACTGCATCAAAAGAAATCCATTGTAAGCATAATGTGTTTAGATTAGATTGCAATAGATAAGAAGGGGAAGAAATGAA